GGTTCTGTAAAGTTATAAAATAAAAAATATATAATAAAACACTTATCATGTACAGTAAGCATATATATATATATTAAAAAAAAAAGAAATATGTCGTTCTTATATAGCACTTAATGCCTTAACAAAGCCTCTAAGCGCTTCACATTATTACCCCCGTCATTGGATCAAACACATATGGAACACATTGAACACTAAATGCAATTATTAAATATTAGATAATAATAACGAATATTTAAAAAATAGAAATAGAATCTTTTTTTCTATGAGTCAGGTACTTACCCTCAGTTGTCACTGATGTTGTAGGTGGTGCTACTGTGGTAGGTTCTATAGAAATAAAAAAAAAATACTCATAACTACTACTCGTGTAAGCATTTCAATTTCAACTAAAACTGATAATTAATCTTGAAATTAAGTTGTCACTGGTGTTGCGGGTTGTGCCGGTGTGGAAGGTTCTGCAAAGTCACGAAATTAAAAAACAAGTATCATAAACCGCTTATCATTTACAGTAAAAAAAAACACACACACACACACACACACACACACACACACACACACATATATATATATATATATATATATATATATATTAGATAATATTGACGAATATTTTAAAAATAGTAAAAGAATTATTTTTTTCTATGAGTAGAGTACCTACCCTCAGTTGTCACTGATGTTGTCGGTTGTGCTGCTGTGGTAGGTTCTGTAGAAATAAAATAATAAACTATATAATAATTACTACACTAAGCATTTCAATTTCAGCTAATATTGTTAATTAATCTTAAAATATTTATTTTAGTATGAGTCAAAAACCTACCGTTTGTTGTCACTGATGTTGTCGGTTGTGCCGCTGTGGTAGAATCTGTAGAATTATAAAATTAAAAATATCATAAACCACCTATCATGAAGTAGTAATAGTAAATCATCGTTCAACAATGAAATTGAAAAATGAAATATTTTGCTCTTAGTCACTATTGATAACCTTTAAAAAGACATAAACAAATAATGAGTCAAAAACCTACCCTCAGTTGTCACTGACGTTGTCGGTTGTGCTGCTGTGGTAGGTTCTGTAAAGTTATAAAATTAAAAATATATAATAAACACTTATCATGTACAGTAAGCATATACATATATATTAAAAAAAAAAAAGAAATATGTAGTTCTTATATAGCGCTTAATGCCTTAACAAAGCCTCTAAGCGCTTCACATTATTACCCCGGTCATTGGATCAAACACATATGGAACACATTGAACACTAAATGAAATATATATATATTAGATAATAATAACGAATATTTAAGAAATAGAAAAGGATTTTTTTTTTATGAGTCAGGTACCTACCCTCAGTTGTCACTAATGTTGTAGGTGGTGCTGCTGTGGTAGGTCCTATAGAATTATAAAAAAAAAAATAGAATATCATAATTACTACTCGTGTTAGCATTTCAATTTTAGCTAACTGAAAATTACTTTTGAAATATTTATTTCGGTATGAGTCAAAAACCCATCGTCAGTTGTCACTGATGTTGTTAGTTGTGTTGTTGTGGTAGGTTCTGTAGAGTTATAAAAATTAAAACATATAATAAAACACTTATCATGTACAATAAGCATATATATTAGATAATAATGACGAATATTTAAGGAATAGTAAAAATATTTTTTTTGAAGGGGTCAAGTACCTACCCTCAGTTGTCACTGATGTTGTAGGTGGTGCTGCCGTGGTAGGTTCTGTAGAAATAAAATAATAAACTATTTTATATTTCACTACTCTAAGCATATAAATTTAAGCTATTATTGTAAATGAATCTTAAAATAATTATTTTGGCATGAGTCAAAACCTACCCTCAGTTGTCACTGACGTTGTCGGTTGTGCTGCTGTGGTAGGTTCTTTAAAGTTATAAAATTAAAAATATATAATAAAACACTTATCATGTACAGTAAGCATATACATATATATATATTTAAAAAAAAAAAAAGAAATATGTAGTTCTTATATAGCGCTTAATGCCTTAACAAAGCCTCTAAGCGCTT